TCCGGTCTTCGTCTTCCAACGATCGTTCCGCTGAGCGCCCTGACAAAGAAGCCGCTATCTTATCGCCGCTTACATTCAAGCCGTCGGCTTCCCACGGTCTTTCCGCTGAGCATCCCCACGAAACAAAAGGCGGTGTCTTGCGGCCTGTTACAATCTAAACAGGTATTAACTAATTGAATGATAATCAGTGGGTGTACTTCTCGATCGAAGTGTTCGATGGGTGCCTTCAACGTCTGACCGTTACACTGTGCATGACAAAGAAGTATTTACGTATTTATGTACTTATCTATGTGTTTTATATGCGTATGTGTACACATATATATAAACAGATGTTTGAAGCATCTATCCAAATTCTTTCATTTGTATGTTTCGCTACGTATGATCTTTAAGTGGGTTAATATCTGTTTGGACGAGTACTACGCCAGAAGTTGTTCATATTCAAGATTCCATCACCTTACTGACGTTTTTGCTGGTCTTACAGTACGCGAATGACTGGTTGAAGTCTGATGTGCTTTAAACACCTAATAGAATCGAAATCACATGCGCCATGTTAACTGAATGGCCGTCTGTAAGTATTCTTGTCAGTGGAAGTATTTTGCTGGTAGTTCGACAACTGGTTATTATATCGTGCAGGGTGGTGAGATTTAGTACCGATGTACGGAAGCAGTATTATACCGGGAAGCCTCGCCTGCTTGAAAATCTGCCCAAGATACTAGTGATTGCTTTTGAAGCAAATTGATGGTGTGAGAACCCCGAAAAATGATGAGTACTCGTAGTCGCCTAAAACAGAACGGAAATCAGGAAATTTTCGAGGTCACCCCATAGTGGAATGGAGATGTTATTGCGAACTGTCATGAAGTCTTCACAATGATTTTTTCGACTGTTAATCGATGATGTTCATTTCCAGGGATGGTGCGGCAAAAATCGATATTTCAGAGGACAGAACAACGCACATTGCATTAAGTACCTGAATCAACTGCATTTCTAGCTACTTGAAGGGAGCTGGACTTCTGTGCCGTAATTTACCGAATCTCGTCAGCAAAGATGTTTCGGAAGAAGCTTATTACCTCTGATGTGCGAGTTTGCCCAAGTTCTCCATCTGTTCCTGAATTCTCTTTCCCAAGACAGTTGGTCACTCTTCCAACTTAAATCTTCTAATTAGGTTCAGTCACGTGAGTATTTCGATCCCCTTTAACATTCGAGTACAATTCTGAAGTGCCTTCCTTGTCAGTGTCCAAACTGAGGACGTTCATGTTGTAACTTTGACAGAAATTTAGTTGTTTAAATTTCGCTTATTGCAGATGCATGAGATCATTACTTGTTCTTTCTTGTCGTCGGTGTCAGTTTCTCTGTCTCTCATTTCTCGGTGTCAGTGCTGAAGTCGTAGGCAATGCTCCAAGTTTCTTTCGTACGTCTTTAGATATCGCAGACTATGAACAGGGCCATGACGAGCAGTATGTACATCGGCTTTTTGATACTGGCCGATGGGTAATTGGGTTTAATGCAAATTAGTCCAACCAGGCTCATCTTCTATCCAGAGGTTTCGTGACGTGGCGGCGGTATAATAAATTATACGGGAGGTGAATAAATGTCTTGGTTCATTTCGGTGTTCCAGCCCATATATGCACTTGTATGATACTGTTTTTGGCCACTGTCTAAAGTGGAAGGCGCTGTCTGTTTTCAGTTTAAAGTAAAATTATATGATTGGACAGGCGTTTCACTCTGATGCTGATATCCTCAGGCCGATGCACAGATTTTCCTCAGTTTCATTTCAGTGGTGTATTGCGCGAACGACTGAGTGTTCGTGCAATTCCTGCCGATTTTGGAGTTTCAGCGGTCACACCTGACACGACCATTGAGGTACGAATATCGAACAGGGGTCGCGACGCAGATGCAAACGCACTCCCATCGGTTCGCCGAAGGGTAAA